TAAAGTGATACTTGTGAGGAGTGTGCCTCTTAGCTCAAGTAGATACAAGAGGCTCAACGGGCAGCTTCTCTCCAGAGGTGAGATGGGAAGGCAGAGAGGACTAGAAGCTGGTTGAATGGACATGGGGAATCAGGGGTGGAAAGGAGGAGGGTGCTGTCACAGTATGGGGAGAGCAATTAGGGTCACGTAACAACGCATGTGTAAATTTTTGTATGGAAGACTAACTTGAAATGTAAACTTCATTTAAGCTACAACAATAAAAAATAAGTAAATAAAAATAAATTAAGTAGCTGCTGGGATTTTGAGATAATCCCCTGCTGACATCACAACACTAATTAAAAAAACAAAACAAAACAAAAACCCGACCATATGGTTTATTTTTAAACTATTTCTTCTAGAATTGTACTTACTTAATCTAAACACATATAGAAAAGATAGTGAACTGAGGACACCCATTAGCCTTGGCTCCTTCCCAACACCCCAGTACAATGACAGTAACGGGGTTTTTCTAAGACGGCACAGGAAGAAGGATAAAAGAGAAACTAGCAACAGAATTCTGGAGTCTGGAAGGAAGATGAAATGAGTGGTAACTAAATCAGCAGTCGTCAGAGAGCTGAATTTTCTAAATGGGCAGTGGAGAAGCCCAGAAGTGACCCACGTACACCCAGAAATCTGTCAAAGGTTCAGAAAATGGTAGCTGCAGGTATTTGTGAAAAGGGTGGCAAAAAGGTCGGGTTAAAAAAGGAGACTGGGTTAAAAAGTCTATTTAAACAGCAGTTATGCAAGCAACAAAAGAAAATAACAGATATGCTGGACTTCATCAAAATGGAAAACTTTCGTGCTCCAAAGAACACTACCAAGAAAAACAAAAGACAATTCACAGAACAGGAGAAATTACTGGCAAATCACATATCTGATAAGGGTCTAAGTATCCAGATTATAAAGAACTCTTATAAGTCAACAATAAAAAAGACAACCCAATCAGAAAATTGGCAAAGAATTTCTCCAAATAAGATAAATAAATGGCACATGAAAAGATGCTCAGCATCCTTAGCCATCAGGGAAGTGCAAATCAAAACCACAATGAGACAGGACTTCACACCCCTAGGACGGCTAGAATCCAAAAGACAGATGATAACAAGTGTTGCCGAGGATGTGGAGAAACTGGAGCCCTCACACACTGCTGGTGGGAATGTCAAATGGTGCGGTGCTTTGGAAAACAGTCTGGCAGTTGTTCAAAAAGTTAAACATAGAGCTACCGTATGACCCAGCAATTTCACTCCTAGGTATATGCCCAAGAGAAATGGAAGCATATGTCCATACAAAAACTTGTGTATGAATGTTCATAGCAGCATTATTCATAACTGTGCTAAAGTGGAAACAACCCAAATGTCCATCAACAGACAAGTGGGTAAACAAAATATGCTATATCCAGACAACGGAATGTTATTCAGCCATAAAAAGGCGACGTACAGATACACGCTGTAACGTGGATGACCCTTGAAAACATGCCATGCGGAAGAAGCCACACTTTGTATGACTCCACCGATAGGAAATGCCCAGAATCAGGAAATTCACAGACAGAAGAAAGGAGATTAACTAGGGGGCAGGGGGGCAACGCAGTGAAGAGGAGCAACTGCTAATGGATTTATGGTTTCATTTTGGGAAGATGAAAACATTGTAAAATTAGATTATGGCTGATGGTTGCACAACTCTGTAAATATACTAAAAACCACTGAATCGCACACTTTAAATGAGTGAACTTCATGGTACTTAAATTGTATCTTCATAAAGCTGAGTTTTTTTTGCTTTTTATTTAAAAGTAACTTGCTCCAGGCAACTATACCTGACTTTTTGGAAGATGATGGTAACCCAGCGCTTCCACCTCCAGCCCCACCTCCAGGACTGCCACCACCAGGGCCTCCTGGGGAGCCGGTCTTCTTACTCAGTAAACTATTGAAGAAATTTGCCAGGACACCTTCACTTGTGGCTCCAGCTATAAAAAGTAAACACTTTTACTCAAAATGTTAGATTTTTCCATAAATTATTATTACAGTAATCATACGCAGAAAACAATATACTTAAAATTTAAGAGCTGTATATTCCAAACTCAATTCTAGTTTGATAACTATTAAAGAAATTGGAAAATTGTTATTATTAAAAGACTAACAGCATTTTACATGAGCAGAGTCAGATGCCAGTTATCTCTCCCCTTTGAAAGGGATTTTCGAAAATATGACCATTGAAAAATAGCTTCATCAAGTATGACAAAAAGTTACCTGATCCTACATGAAAACCAGCAGAAGTTCCCTAGAGATAAAAGGGCAATTCACAGATAGGAAATACAAATAGAGGGAAATACTGGGGCGGGGGTGGGGGGGAGGCTTCCCATTAGTCATTAAAAAGCACTGATTAGGTGTGGTAAATTTGCAATAGTCAACACTGACGGTTTGTAAAGCTGAGCAATCCATTTGAAAAACAATATCAAAGGCATAAAAATGTACAAAGTCTTTGACCTACTAATCCCACTTATGGCAGATATTCCTACAGAAATAACTATCATGCATACAGGTTCTTCCTTATGTTAACTGCAGTTTACCTATAACAAATACAACACAGAACTTTCAAAAAGCTTTTATCACTGATGTTAAAATGTTACGAACATCATGTAAAAGGGTTTACGATCTGATTAACTATGAGATTATATCTACCGAGACAAAAACTAGACGGTGTTAGACAAAATGGAAAGTAGCTATGGTAAAAGGGAGAATTCCAGGTAAATTTCTTTCCATTGCAAAACATATTGCGTTGTTTTCTCCAAAAAGAAAGAAAGAAAAGAAAAAAGAGACACATACCTTTCATATTTGGATCAATTTTTTTTGACCCAGCAGGGATGGGGGACACGCTAGCAACGTTGGATGACACGGATCTGTTGGGTGTTCGAGGGGAGCCTCCTGGGACTCTTGGTGAGGCATCCTATATAAAAATAGGAAAACCACAATTACAAAAACTCACAACTGTCAATTTCACAGAAGTTACTATTATAAAAGGAAATTACTTGGCAATTGTCCCACATCCATTCTCCTGGTGCTTCCCCACTGCAAGCCACTGATAAAAACGTTTGCAACGGTCTCCTCGTTATTAGAGAACACTACAGGTCTATCATACTTCAGAACACTCCTTTTCCTTCAATGGGAAAAGCCCATAATGAGTAATTCGGTATGGTTAAAAGCATAAGCTTGGGAGTCACATCTGGATTCCAATCCAGACTTGCATCCTTACCAGTTGTATAATCTCAGACAAGTCACAATCACCTCCAAAGCCTTCATTTCCCATCGGTAAAATGGGTTTCACAGCAGCACCTGCCTCCGAGGGCTGTTGAGGATTTGTGATAAACGGCTCACCACCATAACTGACACATAACAAACGTTTGTAAAATACATCCTTACGTGATTTAAATACCCAAAAACGAAATGAAGCTTATTTTTTAAAACCTCACAAGATAAATTCCAGAATTCTGAGTTCAAGTTTATATTAAAGCACACGCATATGAAATATGTATACAATTAAGGAAAAAAAAACAGTATGTTGTACATATTTTAATAACTTTGTCAAACTCTGTAATACTGACCACAGGCCTTCCAGCTGCAATCGGTGGCTGTTTTGCTAAAAGCGTCTAAGAGAAAAAAAAAAAAAAAAAAAAGAATTCGAGTTTAGACATTCCTAGCATGTACTGCTGTATTTTTAAAGAAAATATGTGTAAGAACAATTTCTCCACAGCAATTTCTGCTTCTGATGCAAATCCGTACCTGCAGCTTCATCAGAAACACCTGGTCATCTTCTGCCACAATTTCTTTCTCATGCACAAACTGAAATTAGTGCACAAATGAATAAGTTTAATGTATTCTGCTAAAGTCATGAACAACTTACTCTCTCGATTAGATTCATTAAAAGAACAGCTCAGCACTATGAACATTACCAAGGCTATATTCACATGGTGAACTCTCCTACCCAAGCCCCTCAGGCAAGCCGTCTGATCACTTCCTGCAATGATGTAAACGTTCTACCCCCCCCCCCCCCCACACCGTGCTGTCCGCTACAGCAGCCATCAGCCACCTGTGGCTACTGAGCACCGGAAACATGGCTCCTGCCACTAAGGAACTAAATGGTTAATTTTATTTAATTTACATTTAAAAGCCATACATGCCTAGTGGCTACTGTATTGGAGAGCATAAGCCTAGAGGCCACGGGTATATTAATATCACTTGTAAATTTGCGAAATAACAGCTGGGTGCTGTATCCCAGGAATATCCCCGCTCAGTGAAAGACAACTTAAAGACGTAAATATCAACAACCACAGACCTCTAGAGCCCCCTGAGAAATCAGGAAACGGCTGCAAACGCTTCCTACTTCTACACTTGCTGTACAACGTAGTCCCCAGCCCATTTTCTTCCCAGCAGCGGGCGTGATCCTTTTAGATTCCCCCCTCCAGTTTTATTACTCTAATTTTCTATGCTATTGGAGGTATTAGGCGATCGACTGTTGTAGCTGACTGCCGCTGGGTCGATTCCAACTCATCATGACCCCATGTGACAGAGCAGAACTTTCCCATGGGGCAGTCCTGGCTGTAATCTTCATGGGAGCAGACTGCCAGGTCTTTCTCCCACGGAGCCGGGGCTCAGGACAGCCAGCCTTTCAGTTAGCAGTCAAGCGCTTAACTGTTGTGCCACCAGGGATCCTTCCATGTGACCCTCTTAAATAGTTACCAGATGACATCACTCCTCTGCTCAGACTCTCCGATCGCTTCCCATCTCACTCAGAATGGAATCCAAAGTCCCCACTGCACCCTAAGGTTAGGCCCTGCCAGACATCCGGCTCTCATTCCGGCTCCTCCCCAGCCTCTGGCCAGCTCTCTTCACCCTGTGTCATTTTCACAGCACTGTCCTGGTTTACTGTGAGCATCACCCTCCCAGTGAGCGCCCAGTGCCCAAAACAGCCCTGCCTGACCCTCAATAAATATTCATGCAATGAGTAGGCAGAAAAGAGAAGGGGAAAAACTGTTGCTACTGTTTTTTGATGCACGCATTTCTTTTAACAGACATCCAAATCAAATACCACACCAACTGATTTTTCGTTTGACTTACTAATTAAATACAAAGACAGATGCTCTATGCTGTGAATGTTTACATTAAGAATCTTATAAATCGAAATTATTTTTTCCTGAAACATATGTCCAAACTCAAAGTGAGTCAGTGAGAAGTATTACATACAAATACTCACTTTTATACAACCTTTCAGAAACATCTATTATCTAACTATAGGACATCATATACTGCTTCATATAAAATCAAGACAGATGAAAAGAAGGGTATTTGTGGAACCAGATTTTATAGTCATGCGAATGGCATGCTACAGTTAAGATTAAAATTAAATATATGAAACTGGAAGCTCCTGGATAGCTGTGGGGCTACTGCGGGTAACTAATAACTGTCGAGAAGACTCAAGGTCTGTCTCAACGCGTAGAAGCCAAGAAAATCCTTCTTGCAACGTTTTCTTGGCTTCCAGCTGAGCGCTAGATTGGAAAGTTCACAGATTCTGGCTATTCCAACTGCTGAAAACCCACACGGTCCTCACGACAACCCATGATTTCTAGGGACTACGTTAGAAGAAAGGAGGCCTGGTGGTGTGGCAGTTACGCGCTCGGCTGCTGATCGAAAGGTCGGACGTTCGACCCACCAGCTGCGTGAGAAAGATGTGGCAGTCTGCTTCCGTAAAGATTACAGCCTTGGAAACCCTATGGGGCAGTTCTACTCTGTCCTACAGGGTCGCTATAGGGTCACTAAGAGTTGGAACTAACTCAGTGGCAACAGGTTTGGTTCTGGTTGTATTAGAAGAAGATGGAATCTGTACTAATATTTGCTATAATATAAATATGCCAAAGGCTACGCAACGATTCAGCAACTGAATAGCTGATTTAAATCTTCCTAAAACAAGTCCTTCTTGTGAACTGCACATTAGAAACACCCAAATTACACTTAGAAACCCTCCTTACAAAAGAGGACCCCCTTGCCTTTCCCCTTTTAATGTTAAAGTGATGGAGTTCCCCCTCAATCTAAATATTGAGGCTAAATACTGAAAGTGTTACCTTTCGGACAGGTGGTTTAGTTATGATGTCTTCAAAATTATCTTCTGCTTTTAATGTCTGAAAATTTTCATGTAATATTCCTATTTTCTTATCATTATCCCACCCTGCCGGACTGGAAAGAAACGCATATGATAAACCCTAAAGCATTTACATCGTCATTCATTCATTCAATCTACAACCACGTAAAGGGAACAATCTGACCAACCATAGAAAACTAACCTGCTTGTTACTGTAATGCCCAAGTTATGTTTTACTAATTATATACTTAAAATGATTATAAATCTTCCTAATTAAAAAAAAAATGCCATTATAGTTTTTTGGGGGGAGGGCAGTAATGATTACCTCCCAGTTTTATTCAGATAACTTTTTAATAGCTATCTAGATTAGACATTGAGTCATTTATATATCATAATCAATTAAAGAATATGCAGATCCAATACAGTGATACAGGCACGCAATAGACAGGTTAACTATACTAGCGAAGGCCTTTCAAAACGGGCTCAGGCCAACAGTACCTCTAAAAGGCAATGGTAAACAGATCAAAGCGGGTTAAAAATGAAGCCATCTATGGGCAGAGTCTCACCTACTCAACATGGAAAGGTCTACTGGTCCCACCTTAAAACCAAAAACGACAACTCAACCAAACAGTTGCATCAACACATGATCAAATAATACACTGAAGATTATACTTACATAAATACTGCATCTTTTTCCACAACAATAGCAGGAATCTTATAGGGAAATCCGTATAGCTTCTGAACGATGTATTTATACACTAAATCTATATTTTTGTTTTCTTTTACTGAAGTGTAAATAAGTGCTGCACCATCTGAATAATACCATTAATTAAAGAAATATTTGGACAAACTCCATGAACAGATATAAAGTTCTGTGTTCTGAGCTACATGTATATTAGTTTCAAAAGGCAAATGAAACAGTCTTTACATAATCTCTGTAATTTAGGAGGCTGAAAGTCTCATTAATGCAAGAAAGCAGAGGTACCTTTAGTAACACTGCCCCAGCTACACCACCTCTATATTTAAAGTACACACAGAGGTAAGTTTAACCTTCCTCAATTTCATAACCGTTTTGTCTGTCTTTTCAACAAAAATGTATGCACTAATGTCTCTTGCAGTTTTACTAATCCCAGGAATTAGCACTTTGAGGACAACGCTTCAGAGACCCACTGATGAGAGAAGGTGAACCACTGGGTACCATCAAGAAGCCGTCTAGGAATGACTCAAGGCGAAAGTAAATTTCATGACCCAAACTTGAGATAAAACAATCTCACACGAGGAGGAATTCCTTAAAGCAGATCCTAACTTGGACCTTTTATCCGAAAAGATCAGATAGATCAAAAGATCAAGAGGTTTAAAAAAACAAAAAGATCAAGAGGCCTAGAGGCCTGTGGAAAAAGGGGCAGTGTGACTGCTGACAGACAGTGTGGTCTATCAGAGATCCCAGGACCGTGCGGTGGCACTGGCTGTGTGCCCACAAGAGAGACGGTGACTTAGGCTAACAGGAAAGGCCAAGAGCTGTCTAATTTCTTTAACTGGGATACTCAGATTTTCTAGGACTGGCCTGGGGTTTATGAATCTAAAAGCAACACTGTTAAATACTACATAACACGGTGTAAAATTTGGTAGAAACAAACATCGTAACCCTAAGTAAAGGCTTAACTGTGTGAACTTTTCATTAATGATCTTCCCCATAATGAGAGCTGATTTATGATAATCTGAAAGATTTCTATAGCTGAAAAATTTACAGTGCAATTACAATTAAAAATACCTTAAATAAAGATTATTTTAAATCGTCACACTCATTGCCAAACAAATACCTCCCTATCTGGAGGTGACTTCTCACATTTTAGATACTTTTAAAATCAACCAGCACTAAAGGTCTGTAATTTAATGGATAATTTCCCTCCTGATTACATTTCTATATTTACATTTTCAAGCACAGCATTAAATAAATATTTACAGACACTATCTGTTCTCAAATATTCTGATCTTCAAAGATAACAAAAAGGTTGTAGGTATCTCTACTTCAATTATGCTTTTTTTCTTTTTAAAGATTCTTATGTACATTAGTGCCCTTTAACTCAACTCAGCTGCTGTGTGACATATGAAGAAAAAGGCCCATGGAGAAGAGAGGACAAGGAGCAGGAGGAACAAGGGGAAAGGAAAACCACCAGGGTCAAGGGATCTTGTTTAGCTAGTCCATTAATAGAGATGCTTTGTGAACTGTGGACACTATAAACACGTGTAAAACTTGTTACTACTATCTACTCCTAGTATCATTTCTTTGTTTTTTAGACCCAAAAGTTTTGGTTGGGGAATCCAACGGCAAAATATCTGATCCAAGAGGAGTATTTTCCACGTAAGACTGACAACTTTTAAAGCACAGTACTTTAAACAAAGCAAACTAAAGGTATATATTTTGATACTTGTTTTATATCTCAAAACACCCAGGTACAGATCATTTGAGAAGTAAAATGAAGACCTGGGATCTAAAATGAAATTTCTAACCTGAGGCAGGAGGAAAAACAATAATTTCTACAGTCCATCAATTTAATTCCTTTGCTTCAGAAAACAAAATCAGGTGAGGTGCACCGCATCAACCAACATGTTAAAAGGATACACTGTAAACAAAACTTGCGAACATGTGACTGAATAAAATCAAAATGTTCATCTCTGTAGTCGTGTTCTTTCTCCAGGACACTAATGGCATCACACTGTTGAGGAAAAACAGTTAAAAAGAACAATATGAGATTAAATAATCAAAATTAAATATAATGACTAAAGCAGTTCAATTCTGGACGAGAAAACTGAGAAGGAGGACTTAGAATACCCAACCACTCCTAGACAGCCGAAGATTTCTGGTTGTGTTTTTTATGTTTTTATGATTCTCTCAAATACCGTCAGTCACTATTATACTTTCAAAATATGTAGGTATAATCACTGATAATATGAATTTAGAAATAGAATTATGTCTACCTTTGTGAGGCTCTCTAACATTAACTATAACATTAAGAACCTGTAAGTCATTAGAAAGTTATTTAGCAAACTTCTCAACTTAGACATAGAAGGTAAGTAATCTTAAGTTGACTCTGAATGAGCATGCTGTGATAAGAGAAGAGACAACATAGTTATCTTTGTAAACTAGCCTGGAGACATAAATCTAAACAACCTCCCTAATCTCTAACCTTGAAGAAAAAAATGTAACATTCAGCTAATCTCTAACCCTGAAGAAAAGACACAACATACTTGTCTTTGACATCTCAGTGGCCCTCATATTGTGAGGCCAATGTGAGAATTTCACATATGAACACTGAATTTCTGCTCTCTCACTGAGAGAAGGCAGAGAGATCTTTCTCTAGTTCCTTACTCTTTCTGAAGACCAAAAGCCTGCTGAGACTCAGCCCGTAGCCACTGACCTCAGACTCCAGCTATGAGGGATCTCCACCAGGTTCGAGCCATTGTCAAGCCTTCCTCCCGAGATCGCTCACAAAAGGCAGAAGCCTGAAGTCTCAGGACTGCAACTCTAACCATGGAGTAACACTGTAATTGTAAATCCTGCCTCTCCAGTTCTACATGCATGTTGTGAGGTCTTGGCTTGCTTGCCTTGCCATGACCACCTTAAAATAATAATGAGTTTACGCATGACAAACCTGAATATTTCTTTACTAATCTTCTAAAATAAAATCCTACACAACAGGGTGAAGTCTTAAGACTAATAGCTTTATTTCTTTAAAAAGCATTGACTTTTGTGGTACATCGAATCTGGTGAGAACAACAAAGAGAAAGTTTTTTTCCCATACAGGGATTAACAGGACAAGCTTATACTGAGTGGTCACACTTGTTAACTACTTGTGTTCTAGAACAAAGTTTTCAAGATCTAAACTCTACTCCAGTTCTATAAAACACTTCTATACATCCAGGGGGTCTCCACCTCTCACTATTTTCTCTCTATTCCTGTTTATCTGATAATTCTTAACTGACCTTCATTTATTTTCTGGTTCACTTTCATTGCAATCGCAACAAGAGCAAAATAAGGGAATGACAGGCTATTTTTGAAATGTTACCTGAAGAATCAGTGAAAGAATTCCTAATTCTGATATTAAGAAAAAACAAAAGAAAGAGAAGATGTGGTTCAAGCACCATATCATCCAAATAATTTCTCCAAAACCCTTCTGAATTGGGAAATATAAAAAGAAACGTTATTAATATCCATTATACCTATTATTAGTTTGGGGTCTGATTTGGTATGCACAGTCTCTCCTTGTGTAAGATGATGCAGCATGTCTGCCCATTTTACAGAACTCTGAGAACGATTCTTGCAAATGATTCAAGATACTTATAATAATTATTATGGCACTTTTGGTGAAGCGTGGTAGCTTAGTAAGATTTTAACTGAAACCACAGGATCTGGGCCTGAGGCGAGAAACTCACTCTCTCCATCTCAATTTCCAGTCTCCAAACGGGCGGACTTGAGCCATCACACTGCGTCCATTCTGATACACTCTCCCACCCCTACATGCTTCCACTGAGATACAGCTGACAGCTTAAGTCTGTGAACGACAGTAGGCGAGCCCCCTACCCTGAAAATCTTAGGCATCTATGACTCATTTTATGTTGACTTGGGACTCTTTAAATTTAACCTTTCTCTTTTGGAAAACAAGATTGCTTTTTATGAAGCAAGTTGTGGTAAAGCAGGGCAACATCTGCAGATCAACAGCTCTTTGACAAACAAAACAAAATAAAAACCACAAGCAAAATGATGCAGGTATGCGCTTTTAAAGATATACGTGTAGAGAAAAGTTATAAGCAACAATTAACTACACCAGAATTACCATGTGAAAGGCTGATAATGAACTTTAATCATTTTAAATGCTGTCCCCCGACCCGTTGTTACTGATCAGTTTTAATTAAAATGCTACAAAAATTAAGCTGTGTTTTAAAACATTTTTATTATTTTTATTCCAAAAATGAATAAATTCCATACCTTCTTTTAATGTATATGTGCTAACTTTAGACGTTACAAAAATGTCAATAATTTTAGGTCTCAGAAGGGTTTATGTTCCGTCATTTTCTTAACTATTTCATGAGTACGGACTCGACGGCACCTAACGACAACACTCCATGAATTACAAATAGTAAAAACACAGCAGTTAGGATAAAAAGAGAAGATGAACTTGAACTATGAATTACTTCTAAAGGAAATCTGATATTTTATTAAGAAGTGTACACAGTGACAGACTAAGTCAGCAGAAGTCTGATCACCGTGATCATATAAGAACATCTTTAAAGAAGTGGAAATGTACAGTGGTGACGGTTGTACGACATGGGGAACCTCACTCACGTCACTTAATCGTACACACTGTAACGGGTGAAACAGTAAATGTTGTTACATGTTTCACCACATCAAAAACTTAAAAAAAAATTTTTTTAATTCAATGTTAAAAAAATATTTTATAATAATTAGCTACTGTAAAATTAAACTATCGTTTTGGCTATAATTATTTCTACTAAATGACAGTGCTTTTCTTGTCGGGTACTGTCGAGTCATTTCTGACTCACAGCGACCCCGTGCACAACAGAACAAAACACTGCCCAGTCCTGCGCCATCCTCACAATCGTTGCTGTTTGAGCTCGCTGCTGCAGCCACTGTATCATTCCATCTCGTTGAGGGTCTGCCTCTTTTTCGCTGACCCTCTATCCTACCAAGCATGATGTCTTTCTCCAGGGACTGGTCCCTCCTGATAACACGTCCAAAGTATGTGAGATGAGGTCTCACCATCCTCGCTTCTAAGGAGTATTCTGGCTGTTACTTCTTCCAGGACAGATGTGTTTGTTCTTCTGGTAGAATATGGTACATTCAATATTCTCTGTCAACATCATAATTCAAAGGCATCAATTGTTCTTCTGTCTTCTTTATTCACTGTCCAGCTTTCACATGCATATGAGGCGACTGAAAACACCATGCCTTAGCTGGGCGCACCTTAGTCCTCAAGGTGACATTTTTGCTTTTTAACACTTTAAAGAGTTCTTTTGCAGCAGATTTGCCCAATGCAATACACGTCATTTGATTTCTTGAGTGCTGCTTCTGTGGGTGTTGATTTGGATCCAAATAAAATGAAATCCTTGACAACTTCAATCTTATCCCCGTTTATCATGATGTTGCTTACTGGTCCAGTTGTGAGGATTTTTATTTTCTTTACGTTGACGTGTAATCTGTACTGAAGGCTGTAGTCTTTAATCTTCATCAGTAAGTGTCTTCTTTGCTTTCAGCAAGAAGACAAGCAAGCAAGCAAGGTTGTGTCATCTGCATAAAACAGGCTGCTAACGAGTCTTCCTCGAATCCTGATGCCCCGTTCTTCTTCATGTAGTCCAGCTCCTCTGATCATCTGCTCAGCATACAGACCGAATAGGTATGGTGAAAGGACACAACCCTGACGCACACCTTTCCTGACTTTAAACCACGCAGTATTCCCTTGTTCTGTTCTTGGTCTATGTACAGGTTCTGCATGAGCACAATTAAGTGTTCTGGAATTCCCATTCTTTGCAATGTTATCCATAATTTGTAATGATCCACACAGCTGAATGCCTTTGCACGGTCAATAAAACACAAGTAAACATCTTGCTGGTACTCTCTGCTTTCAGCCAAGATTCATCTGACATCAGCAATGATATCCCTCATTCCACATCCTCTTCTGAATCCGGCTTGCATTTCTGGCAGCTCCCTGTCAATGTACTGCTGCAACCGTTTTTGAATTATCTTCAGCAAAATTTTACTTGCGAGTGATATTAATGATATTGTTTGATAATTTCCACATTCTGTTGGATACTACTATTCTACTAAATAATATAATAAAGTATTATTGCACGCTGACATCTAATTAGAATTAGAAAAATGAAACACACAAATATTTGAAGTAACATTTTCTTTCCAAGAAATCATTACGATCACAAGACCAACATGTGAATATCATTCGGTATTTTATAAACTATTACTTCTATTTCTTCAGAATAATTATCTAGGAAATCGAATGTGTTAGCTCCAAAAAAAGGCCTGGAAAACAAAAACAGTTGCTCATCCTCGGCGACCATCAGTAGCAGAGATCTATAGGAAGCAAACTAACCTTTGTGCACACTACTAGAACTGGGACACCCAAGTTATGCGTCAGCGTATCGGCGCCCAGAGGTAAGACCGCACTGTCGTCCTTGTCTTCCTGCGACGCGGCACTTCTTCTCTGGGGAGATGCTGGGAAATCTTCTCCTGGCTCAACGTATTCTTGGAAGTCTCTAATCACTGAAAGTCAAATAATCCAATACAGAGTTTAGAAATCGCTTTCTTTAAGCAGACAGATTTCTCTACCATAGTCTAAACATACATTTTATTGGACTTTATACTTATTTTGGTATAACAGAAGAGACAAAAAGGGTGTGAGAATCCTATTTCAAAAACAGTACACCAATAATGGACTCGCGTTGAGTATCAGGAGGCACAAGACGGCGCTGGGTGGCTCCAAAAAGTGGGTCCTTCCCAGGGTTGGTTCAATCTGTGCAGAATACTCTGGCCAAGTCACACTCTACTTGTCTGTCTACTTTCTCAAATTCAGAAAGGGCCATGAAAGGATAAAAGAAAATATGGGCAAAGCTTTTATAATTTCCAATTCACACACTGCATACAAAATATATACTTTGTAAATCATAAAACCAGCTTAACATCTTTAGGTTAATGTCTTACCAGACACATTTCGTTTTGACAAGGTTGATAGATTGTTTTACTTATCAAGAAATAAAAAGGCTGAAAAGCAACAGCCAAAGAATGATGCACATTTCCGTTCACTCTAAAACCCTATTTTCCAAAATAAACACACACAGCTTTTTGGCAAGGAGACAGAGCAGCTCCACTAGAGAACCCGCCATTATGTATATATTTCTAATTTAAAACTATGCTGAAACCTAGCATGGCAGTAAAGTGAATTTCAGAAACAGCAGTCACATTATACTTCCTTCGTTAAACCTTACTCACAGTAAAAAAAAAAAAAAAAAAAAAAACAAACCCCTAATGATTATCGTCAGCAAAGACATTTTGTGTCTGAAATCTATGTTAGTATTTGCAGACTACTCACGCTTTTGTTCCATTTCTTTCATTTCTTCAGGAGGAATTTTCAATTTGTCAATATGCTCTCTAATAACACTTGCCCACTTCTGTAAAGAATCCAAAGCAGTCCAAGGCTTTGACATATCAACAACCAGCATTACTAGAGTGTCCTTCAGAGAAACGGCTTCCAGTGAAAATTTAAGGAGTCCTTTGTGATACAGATCCCCGTCTAAGATCCATACGTTACATCTTGTTTGATCTACAACAGACAAAAGAAAGTTACCAAGGCAACAGGATGAAGTTATCTCGCCATCCAACCAACAATACTGCTCCGCATTGTAGGGCATCTCCACAGGAGGTATCTCCTGGCTTTGACGGGATTCAACTGTTAGGTCACATCTACAAAAAATACTCCTGAAGAAGATTCAGCTGCCAACAGAGCGCCAGCATCCTCTGCGTCAGAGACCGCACAACGTATTTACAGTCCTACCCTCAGCGGACAGGGTCAGCATATTCAAGATATCATACACGAGAAAGGGAAGGTAAGTGATCTAGAGAAGAGAACGTGGCTGATGAGATGAGAAAAGCTGGGGAGCAGATGACATTTTTATGCCAGAAAATGAGAAGGAGGTGAAAAGGGAGTCAATAAAGCAATCATAGGGTAGTATTCTTTCACCATCTGAAGGAGAATGAACTAAAAAATGGAGATTCTTCCAGAAGGACAAGAAAGCTAAGGTCAGCCCACTGGAATACCCTAAGACGTTTACAGGTATCATTATGAAGTCCAATCCCAAACCAGTAAAAGTATGCCTGAACATAAATACTTACTGACAGACACGCTTCCGCAGGCCTCCTAGTGAAACCGAGATGTTAGGTCAAAGACTAAGCAGCAGGGCACCTCACAAAAGATGTCAGCAAAGTTACGCTGCAAGTAAACGCCACTCACCGTCCCTGTCTTCATCATGCACGTTTAAGTACAAGTATTCCAGTCCTCTTCCTTTCTTGTACTCCTCTACTCCCTGAATTTTTCTTATTAAGCTTGTTTTTCCAGCGCCATCTTCACCTAGATACATAAAAAATGGGAAAAAAATCATTTTTTATTATAATACGGATTACTTGGGATGGTGTCTGGTGCCAACTGAAAAACTCAACTGGAACTGGTTTCAACCAAGGCAATCTGATGGAAGATAACAGGCAGCCACAGGGCCAAAGATGCAGGCTCTGTCTCCACCAGGATTCTCTCTCCAAGTGTCTCTGCTCTTCTCGTTAAATCTCATTTTATCCTATTACAGGCAGCTTCTTCTGTGCATATTTTTCAGGGGCTGGGCCCTTGGGTGGCACAAATGGTTTGCACTCAACTACTAACCTAAAGGTTGGTGGTTTGAACCCACCCAGCAGCGTCACAGGAGAAAGCCTGGCGATCTGCTTCCAGAAAGATTAGGGCCAAGAAAACCCTCTGGAGCTCAATTCTACTCTGTAATACATAGGGTTGCCAGGAGTCAGAGTCGACTCAAGGACAAGGAACTTTTTTTTTTTGGGTGGGGGAGGCAAAGTGGGAAAGTACAGCTACAGGACGCTCCACCCTTCTATCATCCTCGTTAAACTTATGAGGAGTAAGACCCTCCCTCTTGGCGTTCTGTCCAAAGAATCTCAGGAGAAGACTCCTCACTGGCCTGGTTTGGGTCATGTGTGCACTTGTGGAACAATCACGGAGGATGGATGGCACATCAAGGCTACCAGGGCAGGGAGCTGTGGCTGCAGCCTCACCAAAAACAAAAAAAACCCCGCTGCCATTGAGTCAATTCCAACTGACAGCAACCCTACAAGACAGAGGAGAACTGTTCCATAGGCTTTCCAAGCAGCGGGTGGTGGATTCCAACTGCAGACCTTTGGTTAGCAGCCAAACACTTAACTGCTGTGCCACCAGAGCTCCAAAACCATGAAGCTGTAAAAATATAGAAAAGGGAAGAGGGGTGGGAATGGGTAGTAAGTTGGGCAAGAAAAAGGGCAGAGGGAATGCAGAACAGACAAAAATAAAAAACAGACTTAAAAAATATGAACAGCAGGAAACCATGTGATTTAAACTTAGGGAAAGTTTTAAAACTTGTGTTGAGGGCTTCTTTATGCTGCGGATGTACTTAAATGTTAAATGGGACTACTTCACGGGTTTCTTATATAGTTCTCAGGAACACCATATTCATAGCACTTATAGGTAATAAAGCTGAGTTTCCTGGATTCCTGAAGGTCCATGAGTTCTCTGAGAATTTAAAAACTGTTTTCATTTTCATGTTAAGCTGAAAAAAATTCATATATGTTTTAGGACTTCTGAACGACCATCACTGCAGCTGAGTGCTGCCACAAGACTGCAGTGCCCACGCCTTCCCCAGCGTTTATAAACCAACTGGTGCCAAGATGAGGCCACGCAACGCAGGCAGGACCGGGAGGAGACTGGGTACCCAGGCACGCAGAACTCACAAGTGCGCCAGGGCAGCTCAGTACCACATACGGCTGTACAGGGCAGGCTGGGTATTCTTATGAGCCATTTCCCGATACTTCATAGCACTGAGTGTGGCCTTAAGTAGGCAATAAAGAACTCGTCATTAAATAAGCACTTAACTTTTTAGCACTTCTGCAATGTGCTATTAAACTGGCCCATCAAAACAACGGATTGCATTAAAAACACTACTGTCTATGATGATGATGATTTCCATGATGAGCCATCATGCTTGAAATGGAAATAGTAAAGTCAGCCAGTGAAAAATAAAATACATAAATACATCTGGCTACTGGTAAACTCAACACTGGCATTTAATTTCAGCAAAACATCATCTGTTATATTAATATCGCTAATTTGAATTTTATCAGTTCTATACTTTATGGTATTTAATTTATAATGTCTTGGTTTTATAATTGTGCAAGAACTATGAAAATTTTTATATCTTTACCTCAGTAGACACAGGTGTGTTAGGCATTATAATGGAGAGGAGCTATGAAAACTTTTTTTATGAAAAGGTGCCCGAGTCTGGTCTAGAACCAGAAAGGAAAGAATCAAGATTTCTTGTTATCTTTATTCTTAGGGCAGACCACATTCCTAAAAGAAGTCCTCTAAGTTCAAATGACACCAACTGAATTCTGATTAGCTCACAGAAACAATGTTATGCGTTATAAGCAAAACTCAGGTGCCCAGTCCTATAAATTTAAAAAATTGGCAGTAGTTAGGTAAAACTGCTCTCAATATGACCCACAATTTATCTTATTTCGTGAATTCCCGCCTTAGATGCTAGAAAGTGAAGAGATGCAGACATAAAGGTCAAAAAATCGAGGCATTTATGTCAACTAATTTTTTACTATTTCAAATGACTCAAATAAAGGGTTTCTGAATAAAAAATATATTCACATAACAAATCTCAAAGCATAAATAGATGAATAAAAACAGTAACAGCTAGAAATACTCATTGATAGTATGATTACCTCTGATGGAAGTATTACAAGGTGATTTTTAAAAATAAGTTTGTGCCCTCCTTTTAGCTTATCTACTTTCGAATTTTAAAGATTTAAGTCAATGGACTCACGACAGATTTGCAGGCCCAACTGATGACATCAAACATACCGTTAACCTTACTTCAAACGTCCACTATTCTCAATTCTTGCAGCCACCACTGGAGCGTGGCTGCTTCCTTTTTCCAAGGACTGAGCACAGGTGGAAGGCTTCCTCCCCACTTATCAGGAAACCACAGTCCACTCCTGAGTGAATGCTGTCCATCATTTGTTCACTGGACTAGTGGTTCTCAAACTTGAACATGTATCAGAACTTCCTACAGGGCTTGTTACAACACTAGATCGCTGGGTCCCACCTCCGGGGTTTCTGACTCAGTAATTCTGGGGTGGGGTCCAAGAATCTGTATTCCTAACAAGCTCCCAGAGATGCTGAGGCTGCTAGTCCAGGGACCACATTTTGATTACAGCTTTGAGAACCACGGCATTAGGCATTTACTGCATTAAGCCAAGCAACAGAGATACAAAGATCTGTAAGTCAAAGTAGTCGCCCTCCAGGAGCTCATAAACTGGAGAGGGAAAACAAACAGGGGAAAATTTCAAGACACTTTATTAGGACTACACTAGAGATATGCAATGGGGCAGGGATGGGTCAGTCGTAGAATTCTCATCTCTATGTGGAGACCCGGGTTCAATTCCTAACAAATGCACCTCATGCATAGCCAGCACCCATCTGTCAGAGGAAGCTTGCGAGTGCTGTGATGCTGAACAGGTTTCAGTGGCGCTTCCAGACTAAGACTAGGAAGAAAGGCCTGATGATCTACTTCCAAAAATCAGCTAATGAAAACCCTATGGATCACAACGGTCTGATCCGCAACAGATCATGGGGATGGCCCAGTAGTAGGCAGTGTTCTGTTCCATTGTACATGGGGTGGCCAGGGGCCAGGGGCCAACTCGAACAGCAGTTAACAACAACAACGACAAGAGCTACACAACACATCAGGAAGCCAGCCCAGAGGAGAAAGAGCCTGGTTCTGCTTGGATGTCAGAAAGGCCTTTGCTGAGAAGGTAACACTTCAGCCAAATCTTGTAAAGTTAATGGACCATGGTGAGTCAGTCATTGTAGGAAGTAAGGAAAGCAGCCACAGAGAGAGGCCTGAAGGCAAAGGAGTGCCCTTCTGGGAAGGGCAAATAATTTAGAACACGTGAGATTTAGGGTGTGAGGAGACAAAGAGGCAGAAGGTGAGACTGAAAGGGAAGGGAAGCCATGAAGGGAGTCTCATGCCAGGCTGAGGTCAGACTTTATCATAAAGATGATGGCGATCCACTGCCAGATTTTAGGTGTTTTGGAAAGACTGTCATGGCAGAAGTGTGGACGACTGAGTCGGGTAAGCTCAGCAGTCAGGAGACTAGACAACGAACAATTCCAGGAGCCCTAGAAAGCAATGAGGCGGGCCTGATCTAAGGTACTGGCAGTGGGGGGCACGGACAGGTGGGCTCAAAGGCTGAGTTGGTTGGGAGAAGGATGAGGAAGATGGAGAAGGCCTCTCCTCTGAGGCACCTCTCGGTGACCTCCTTCTCCCTTCACTCAAATATCACCTCTGCCAGAAGGCCTTCCCTGACCACCTCATTTAAAATTACAACCTCCCAATACTCCTTATTCGTGTTTTATTTTTCTCCACTGAACTTACTAACATAATATGTATTTTACTTACTTTCTCTCTCCCCGACTCTCAAAAGCATGATCCAGGGAACAGGCATTTTGTCTACTTTGTTCACTGCTGTATCCCCAGTGCCTACAAACTGCCTGTCACTAAAGTACTTATTAAATTTGCTCCTTTCATAACAAAATGTATATTCCTAAACCCCCTACAGGGCAGCCACCGACAGATCTTGTCTCACATAACAAAACCCAAAACCTGCCACCTTCGAGTCCATATAGGACAGGGTAGAACTGCCCCACAGGGTTTCCAAGGAGTGGCTGGTGGATGCGAACTGCTGACCTTTGGGTTAGCAGCCTGAGATCTTAACCACTGCACCACCAGGGCTCCTACATAACAAAAAGTACTATCAGTTCCACTGTAGCATAAACGTTAACCTGGGGCTCACAAATCCCCGAGTGAAGGATGCACGTTTTGTTCCCTCACCCACTCTGGAAGAAGCCTGGATAATGCAAGCAGTTTGCAATCGGCTGCTAACTGAATGGCTGTCAGTCAGAACTGGAGAAAAACGTAGAACAAAATTCTAACTCACAAAAAAAAAAAAAAAAACAACAGACTTACTGGCCTGAAAGAATCTGCAGAAACCACACAAGTATGGCCCCTGGACACCCTTTTAGCTCAGCAATGAACTCACTCCTGAGGTTCACCCTTCAGCCAAAGATTAGACAGGCCCATAAAATGAGACTAAATGGGCACACCAGTCCAGGGGCAAGAACAAGAAGGCAGGACGGGACAGGAAAGCTGGTAATGGGGAACCCAAGGTCAAGAAGCAAGTGTTGACATGTTGTGGGGTTGTTAACCAACATCATAAAACAATATGCATACTGTTTATAATCAGAAGCTAGTC